CAAGGCTAGTGAATTATATTTAGAATGTGGGTGTCAGTGTAGCCCAACACGAAAAGAAGATCTACACCTGCACCGACACCTTGCACCCAAAAATTTACCTTCGAAATAATCAAACACTTGTTCTTGAGCTCAGATTTCTCGTCAATCAGCGTAGGAAAAACGGAATCAACACAGAAGTGTAAGTGAAGTACATTTAAACAATGTTGAAATAGCTGAGCAATAGACTTCGGTTGTAGCGATGTTCTTCTTGGGACTTGATCACATTGATTGCAAATCGGTTTGAAATTAACCCTTTACTACCTTTAGAACTGTAAACACATGAAGCTTTTTGCTCTTGGTGGCCATACGATATGCATAGGTTTGAAGATTTGTGGAATGACATGAGTTTAATCTATTTTTTTTTCTACTGTTTCCATGGCAACTTTTTCAAACGAGCGAGTGTCTCTAACCAGCGGGATGCTGATTAAGTGATGGAAGATGACACAAAGAGTGAGGTAAGGTGAGAGAGGATATGAGTGTAGATGAGAATCTTCTTTTTATCCTCATTCTCACATTTCACATTTTAAAGACAGCAAAAGTAAGAGAAAATACTTGAATAAAACAACAATATGGAGACATCCATCAGTGTTATGCTGCTCATACATCAATAATAGAAGCTAAAGAGCAGATGGATAGAATAAGCCATATTGCCTATTTCGGTCATAACACCTTTTTTTAAAAATTGTCAAGATGCATTTACATCCCTCAGACCCACCATTAAGAAATCTTTCTTTTCCGGATACTTTATTGTGAATTAAAGAGTTATCGTGCTGATACATACAAAAAAACTCGTGCAAGTAGGACGAAAAATCTAGAAAAACGCCAACATAAGAAACATACAATCGTAATTATAATTATAGATAAATGGAAGTCATACAAAGCCTTAATACGTGTTCGAAATAAGGCTATATTTGGCAATGCCATTATTCATATAATTGCCGCTAAGATACAGATTTCCATCGGTATCCAGTTGTATTTGTCCAATACTCCAGTAAATACCAGTTAGCACTTGTGTGACAGAACCTGAGTTTGGATTCAACTTATAAACACCACCATACGATGTAAAGTAGATGTTTCTTGCTTTGTCCAGGATTAAATTAGACAAACTGTGATAAAATGCCAATGCTACTAAAACGGTTCCTGTTGAACTACCCGACGGAAACATAATGATTCGGCTAAAACAAAATTAAGTTCAGTTACTAACTTCTGTATTCTTCGCCTAAAAGAAAAGATAGAAATGCGAAATTTAAACATCATCTGATTATGTTCTTCGAAAAAAGCAGCAAGAGAAATAGTAATTTTTGACTAGCCAAACATGTTGCTCTCACTCTCAAAAACATTCAATCTAATTGAGAAATATTTGAGAAAATTGAATATCATCAATCAGTTAACACCTACGCGTTGCCTCTATCTGCCACATACAGAGTACCGTTGCTATCCACAAAAATACTGCCAGGATTACTAAGTTGATTTGTCATTGATCCAAAACTTTCATTCGTGCCTGCTATAATAGCTGCTGTTGATACAAACGGTGTGATTTTCAGAATACGATTATTTGATGAATCTGAGTAGTATATTACGCCTTGACGGTCAATGAAAAGTCCACCAGCACCACAAATCTGATCTGCTCCTTGGCCACATGTTGTTTCACCAAAAACAGTGATACCTGTTGTTCCGTTACCTTCATTGTACTTGGCTACCCAATAATAATAATTTGTCGAGGAGCCATTGTAACAATACTTGTGAGAAAATGATATTCTATGTTTTCTTTTGTGAGTAAATTTTATTTGAATCATGATCAATGATTTAACTGTTTTAAATTTACTACTTTTCATTAAGTTACCGCATTTTTACACAGCATTGTCAATAATACTAACAATACACTCAAACTCAAAAGTCAACATGTAAATACTGATGACATATTCGAGTCATAAGAGGATGATAAAGTGCAAAAATAGTAAACAATGCCTGTCTTCTATTTTAAAATACTGTAGCCTTGCATATAGAAAAAGGACATAGACTCACAGTTTATCACTTCCATTGAAGTATATCGTCAGACATGTGAATTCTCTGCTTCCTCTTCTATATCGACACTCTGAAGGAGCTTCTCACACAGATGATTGACGTACAAGGTTTCGAATCCATATTTACAAAAAATAAATGCGATTGCATCCCGTTTTATATTTTGTTTCTCCAGAGACTGAGCTAGAAGATTTTAAGCTTGATGCTATTGCATGTTTTTTCCTTGAAGATTGAAAAATCGAAATAAAAAAGACATGTCTATTATGAAACTTTTCCAGATTTCAATAGGAAACCCTATGTGACAAAACGAAGTATTTTTTTATATGATAGTTTACGAAAAGTTTAGAAAATTTTGAAAGCTATGATATTGGATTAAGAAAAAGGATCATGTACTAAATAAGACCACTTTTCACAAAGGAATCTATTTAAAAAAAAGCAACTTGTTGTTCAACGAAAAATCTCTCGCTCCGACGATGTTTCATGTTAAACAAAATATCATTGTCATTAATTTATAGCAACCCGATGATATTATACATAGAATTTTTTGTCCGTTTTGTGCTCAAGCAATATGTATTCGCTATCTATCCGTTGGTTTTTAGATTTCCATATTATACGCATGAAAATAGTTTTAACAAATGACGTCATAAAAATCATAACCAAGCATCTCATCACCTCGAAATAAACTTACTTGACCTTCTGCTGCATAGATAGTTCCATTACTGTCCAAGGCGATCACATATTGATTGTAGTAGTAGTAGTGACAGTTAGGTGCCAAATCTCTGATTCCGATTACATTAAATGTTAATGTATTATTTGCAGAAAATTTGAGTATACGGGTAAAATTACCATTATTAGAAGCATAAACTACAATGTAATTGTTGTTCAAGTCCAGAGAAAAGGTACTCATATAATATTGATAACTCTGAAACACCGAAGTCTGAAGCGCTGGTGATCCATATTGATTCCATACTCCTTTTTGACAAGTATTACCTCAGAAAATAAATGAAAAAAAAAACATTACTATTTATTAATAACAACATTCTGTTTCATATATGAAGACCTCGTCTACACTAGATTGATATGAGAAAATTTCTGCCAATAATATATTAGGTATAGTCAAGTTTTAGTATTCAAGTGTTATAGTATATTCGAAGCAAGTAGGAAATGTATGTTGCTTGAATTTTCCAAATTATGGCTGACTGAACCTCTTCAAATTGCTCTGCACTTATGTATTTGTCATACTTTGAAGAAAAAACTATCTGTTTGATCGGATAAGAAAGTGTATGAGTAAACTAACAAAGCAGTTTATGCATGGCAATCATACATAAGCATCCTAACAACTCAACTATTGCAATTTTCAAGAGAATGGATGTTCTGACATTTACGTCTCATCCTAAAAGAAAGTGGGCAAGAGATTTTATGAAAAACCTTTTAGATAAAAATATTCAAATTAAAGGCTTGGCCCAATGCATTCATGTCCGAGAAATCATCGATGTACCTGTTGATGACGATGATGAGCTAGTACTACTAGTAGTAGTTGCTGCGGTGCATGCACTAGCCAGTGACAAGGGCATGCAAACTGGTGCTGAGCAACAACTATTGACAATGCATACAGATGTGTTTGTTGAACAGCGTGTTCCACTTATGCATGCCTCAAATAACGAACAGGTCGCTGGAGGAGCACATAGTGTGCTATTTGATGATGTTTGAAAACTGTAGCAGTTTAGTGAAGATGAACAACTGTAGCTGCTACTCGTAACAGAACCACAGGAATCTACTGAGCAATTTGATGAATACTTGAGTGTTGCGCCTAGAAAAACATAAATTATCATATACGAACTACATTAGCCAATTATTCAATTTGTTCACATTACCTAGGTTGTACGAAGGCCAGAAACAAAGGCAAATGGTCAGAAAACGCAGCCACATCTTCCTAGTTGAATCAGCGACAAGTTGCGTTATTGAATAAAAATGTGAAAATATTTGTATAATCGAAAAGCTTAAAACTCTTGCTTTATAAACAATCAAATATTTGCATAGCCGATGACATTGACTGCCTATATACTAACCAATAACATTCTCTTAATGTGTTGCTAAAATATCACAACTTTAACAGAACATCGAGCACTGAAGTAGTTTATTGAAGGAACAAAAATTTCGATGAAAGTGTAAAACTCAAAAAGCCTTTCCTTTATTTGAATTCTGCTTGTGTTAAAATAATATTACAAAAACTTGATAAACAGAATAACCAGGCTGCACAAGTGTGTTTTTTAAGTGTCAAATTGTTTTCTTATGAAAACGAAAAATTATTCTGTACAAAGTATCGTTGATAATATTAGCTAGTCTACTCAAGTCACAGCAGAACATGCTCAATGACGATTCTCAGATTTTTCTCTGTTAAAGATATACCAGAAAAATAACTACACTCACATATGTTAATCCTAAATATACACTGCTCATGACTCGTCATTATCGTGCAGTCATACAACAGACATCGATTAATTTTACGGCAGCTTTTTTCCGTCTAAGACATGGTCATGCCTACTGTAGCACTCCAGTCATGTTTTAAAAAGCGATAGACAAATAATCTAATGCAATCGAAAACACTTCAACATTATTATTCGAAAGTCTTGTTGATTCGTTTATTATTTTTTATCGAGAATCGTTTTTCTTTCTGCTGCAGCAAATATTCATAGACATGAAACAAACCTGATAACAGTATATACTAATTTGTATCTGAGAGTGTGATTGTGTAATTGTGAAAGAAAGTTTCACATCTACACCTACACTTCCCTTGAAGGGAAACAATTTTTTTCCTTGTGATTCAGAATCATACACTAATCAATACAAAATATTCCGTTTCAAAACGACTCGACTGTTTGATCATTTTTTCTAGAATACGATGAACAAATTAAAGTAATATTAATGTTTAAAGATTGTCAACTTCGATGAATCTGGAACTTTTGAACTCGATGATTTCCCCAATCACTCACGTAGATATTGCCTTCTCGATCAAATGACAAACCAATGGGATAAGAGAGTTGATTTGATTGACTGCCTTGATTATTTCCACCAACAATGACACTTCCTTGTGTAGCTCCTTGAAGCCAACGCATTATTCGATGATTCGAATGATCAGCCATGTAGACAGTGCCTGATTGATCCACGACGATTCCATAAGGAATCCATATTTGCGTAAAACTATTTTCTTGACTTTGATCACTAGTCACAACAATGCCTTGTTTAGCACCTTCAATCCACTTCATCACCCGATGGTTACTGTAATCTGCTACGTACACTGAATGATTTCGATCAACGAATACGAATGTTGGATTATTCAACTGATCGAGATGATTCCCTCGTCCATTTCCACCTGCAACCACTGTTCCTTGATTTTCTCCCATTCGATATCGTCTTACTTCATGTTGATCATAATCAGCAATATAGAGAAATCCATCATTGTCTATTGTCAACCCCCAACATCCAAGATTTGAGATGATCACTTCTCCATTCGTACCATTTTGACGAGGCCATCGAACTACTCGTTTATTGCCGTAATCACAGATGATGAGGCTATCTCTTTCTTTATCAATAACCACATCTGATGGATTGTACAATTGGTCAAGACAGCTTTCTAGTCCATTTCCACCGATCACAACTCGACCAGTTGTTGCACCAGATTTCCATTCTACAATGCGATGATTCGCACAATCAGCAATGTAGACAGTTTGATCATCATCAACACACAAACCATTTGGACAGTAGAGCTGATTCATTTCACTGCCAGCTCCATTTCCTCCAGCCACAGTAACACCATTCTGTAGCCATTTTGCATTGACATTCAGATTTGCACTGCGGATTAACAGTACTGAAACAAAGCATAATTTTTATTCATTGACATAGGATCAATGTACGTGGACGAAAACTGATATTTGAAGCAGAGAACTTTGTCTGAGTTAGTCAGAGACAACAATTTGACTCAATTTTCATATTGAATAATGCGTTAATAGATATCTCTTTGTTTCGATTTTTTGAATGATGATTACCATTCTAATCTTCGACTTAAACATCAAAATCTCTTTTTATCTTTCTAACAAGCTATAATAGCCGAATGTCATTCCTGATCATTACAGCTAGTTAAGAAAACTTGACAGTGCCTCTTTTTTCGAATAGATTTTGTTGAAAATGTTTGTAGATGATTGAAATGTCTCTTGAGTTTTTATAGAAATTGATCTGTTATAGTTCACGAGTGTTTGACATATTCCTATGAAATTAATCCAAGTGAATGTTTCGCTTCTAATATTTTTTAAAGAAAGAAAGTCGATAGAATGCCATCAACATTCTCTTGGAAACTAAGTTTCAGTTAAGAACTATGGATGAGATTTCCACGATGAAATAAGAAATTCGTTTTTGAACAACAAACAATCGACACTTCAAGAAACATTGAATTAAGTTTCATGCATTCTGATTTTCATGAAATCAATCTAGTCAACATTCAAAATATGACTAAATCAGATACGAGACAAGTTTTGAAATAAATGAAACAATTCATTTTCCAGCTTTCCACAACGTCAGTCGAGCGAGAAGAGAAGCGAATTTCTCACAGTGGTTGTTCAAAGAAACGAAACATTGTTCTATTACGATAAATGTCAACTGCTTGTTTTCCTTCACCCTGTTATACACGATATTAGTAAATAAGATACCAATGAAGTTCAAGCCTGAAATCTGAAACTAATCATGCCTCTACCTATTCTACATACCTGATGAACAATCATCAGCATGTTCGAATGGTATTTCACTTAGAAATTCAAAAGAGTACTACGAATGTTTGATGATTGGAAAAGAGTCTTGAGACTCGAACCTGTGTTACTTGTACTTCAATCGAAACTCAGTACCTTTTGTCGATGTTTATTTTCAAAATACAAAATCTTGATGATTCGTGTAGTTCCGACGAGATTTCTTTTTGTACAATGGAAAGAAGAGATTTTCAATTTTCGTAATATTTACGGACGACAGAAGATCTCATCAAAAATTGAATTTTATTGTTAGTAGTGATCAATAGATTGAATAAACTATCAGATATAGAAAGATTGAAACATTCCCCAATATGTGATTTGTATTGAATTGGATTATATTGGATAGAAAAACGATTTTATCGAATGAATAAAGTCATTTTGACTTAATTGATATGTTCAATGTTTTTTTTCTTTTTTAGAAAATGATTACATTTCTGAAATTGTTTTCAAACGAATGAAAACCATGCAGATCTATGAAATCTTTCGAGACTTGCCTTTTGTTCTAGTAATCATTAGACTTTAGAAAATAATTTCTATTTGTTAAATTCAATAATGAATTTGTAATGCGAACTTCAATTGAAATATTCATGACTGAGAATAAATGATTTCCAGCAAATAAAGCAAAGGTTCTTCTCGTTTTCGAGAGTGAGATTTTTTTCAAATTGAAAACAATTAGAAAAAGTGAAATTCATGATCAAACAGACGATTCTGGAAGTCTTTTGATTCTCATATAAGTTTTATTAAACGATTTGAGTTTCTGAAATCTCGAAAATCTCATAATGAATAAAAAAAAACCTATTCTTATCTATGCAATATGAAAAATTAATTTTAGATCGTTTTTCAACACAATCTTTAGTAGAGAATTGTAGGAGTTTCGTGATTTCAAAAGTTCGATGGTGATACTTTTTTAGAATAAAATTTCAGTTATGTCAAAATGATGAGTTTTGTATGGCATTTCATATAGTTTTCTTGAACAGTATGACAAACGATGTGGGATGGATTTGTTGAAGAATTTCTTCTTTTTTCTATATCTTTAGTTTAATGTACTCACAGTTTTGTGGTTCTCTAATGTAGATCAGACGATTCCAATCAATTCGATCATTATCAACAATGATAATTTTATTTGTATCTTTTTGAATAAATGGTTCAAGTATTTGTTGAATGTCATTGATTTTTCTTCGAATTCGATCAATATCATTTTCAACAAAATTTTCTTCTTCTCGACGACAACGTATTTCTTTTGTAATTGGCTCAAGTTGTTTTGTTATTATTATTTTTTGTTTATCGATTAGTTCGATAAGTTCATGACGAGCTCTTTCGGCTGCTTTTTCCACTTTGTTGATTGTTGTTTTTTTCCATTGTTCAATTTGATCAAAAAGATCCGTTGAAAAATAATTTGATTTTTCTAATTTTTGTATTTGATTAAGAACTTCATCATGCAAGATTACTATTTCATTGTCGAATTTCGTCGATAGTTGTTGTTCATGTTCTTTGAAATCCTTGGGACAAAAGTATTTTTTACATCCAATACAAAAGCGTCTTGCTGAAGGTTTACTGCAGATTGAACATAAATTTGATTCATCTACTGTGGTCATTTCTCTTAGAAGAAAATTAATCGAATTATGTAATTTATTATAAGAAAATGTTAAACAATCTTGATCTAAAATGAATTAATATTAATATTTAAAAACAAATAATTATAAGCGATTTACTCAAAATATTCTTCCTCTATGATTCGAATGGATTATCGTTCATCTATCTCAAATATGACCCCATCTGTGTACAATAAAATCATAGGAACAAAATCATATCCATCTTCAATGGATTCCTAGCTTTTGGCTTCATAATTCTACAAGCTTTGATCAAATTTGATTGTCTCGAATATCTCATGAATCGTTTTTGAGAACAAACAAAGTCTTTGGAAATAAATCTATCTACACCAATAGAAGTCAGAATTCAATGAAAATAAATCTGAGCTTAGTATGCGGATTTGTGTGTGAAAGATAAACATATTCTTAATCAATGGAAACTCATTTCTATTTAGAGAAAAATGTTTATTAGCTAACATTGTGAAAAACCATGAAAGTGTTACTCGTATGCGACGAAAACAAAAGCTGTTGAATATATATGACGATTTTCCCAATAATACATTTTTTCACATGACGCCTACGGACTTGATTTTATAGACATCCACATCCACGCCCCAAGTAGAGAAACGAGTGTTGTGACAGACTTATCTTATAGTCTTCAAGATTTTACAGTTGTTTCGAAATATTACATACCAAAGATGAACCGAGTTTTAAGGAATATTTTGTTTATTAGATGAAACCTTTCGAAAATCAAAGATCATGCGATTCTATTTTTTCCTACGTCTCAAAGAGTAAGTCAAGCATTGATTGTTAACGTTTGATATTTAGAGATTAATTGGTGACTGCTGATCTTCTTTGATCAATCGTAAGGATTAAGTAACGAATTTTCACTTAATTTAATTTTCTCCGTACCGGCACCGGTCTAAACTGATATGTTCGGGCCAGACTGATCGGTAGACCAATATGAATCATTGTTCACATTTCTTATCCTTTAAAAGTTACATCTACCCCTGAGTGACTATAGTGATGGCATAAGATATCTCTTCTACTACTATAGCTTTTTTGACTATTGAATTTCATAAGCTTTCTCTGTCTCGAAATCTATTGGTGAGCAGAAATGTTTATAGAGCTCACCCATGAAAGACATCTCGGAAAAGAAGAAAGAGAGGGATCAACTAAAACTGCACAAGCTCGAACAGACTGAAGGCATGTCAAACATCAACGAACATTCGAATGTTCGCCATGATTTTTTTATCAAGAGTTTTCAGGAAAATTTTGAAGTTATGTGAGTATTACCAATGTTTAACACGATACTCGCATTTCGTAGGATAGTTTTCAAAAACCTGTTGGATTGGGTAGAATCTCAAAAAATCCGACGACTCACTTTTTATTGTATTCAAACTCTCTGATAATGTCGAAACCTAATGTAAAAGATTGTGTAAGAATCCGACAGGTCTTAATAGGATCCAAGATAACTGTGTTTGAGCTAGATATCAATTTCATTTCTTCTTCTCGCACACTTAGTTAATGAATTTTTGTTCGATTGAAGAAAAATCAGTATAATTGAACAACTAAGCTTTTTCGCAAAAAAAAGTCTTTCAACGAGAAATGCTCAGAGAGAAAAAATCGGATAAATTCAATAGACTAGATAAGGATGAAGTTAAGAAGCGATTATTGACGGAAAGTTCTATATGAATGCTTTCATAAGATTACAAATTTAGTATTAACTTTGCACAGTGATAAACTGACATCGACATTGTTAACATTCTATATATTTACTATTTTTCACGTTGTATTTATTTAGTTATCTCTAAAGTCTTTTGGGAAATATATGCGATAAATAACAGAAAATAAAACTTACGAAAAGTGCAATAAGATTGGTTCTATTTTATTTTGATAGTATAAATTGATATCAAAGCAAGTGTATAAAAATACTCTGATATGTGTTTTCTCAAAAAGACAGTCTTCAGCACAAATAAAGTCTTACTAATTTTATAACCGAATTTCTTACTAGTAATTCGATGAAATACTTATTTTGATGCTTCATACGAAAGACATAATGTGAGTAATGACGTGTCATACAAATACACGTTACAATAAAATCGAACGATGCTCATAGTTTTCTTTTTCTTGCAGAGAAAAAAGGAATAAAAAGAAAAGAAAAAACCTTGTTCGTCTCAAATAAGCTGCGCGCAACTCGAAATTTTTACGTTATTTTTTTTCTCACTTTTGCATGCATGATTGGTTAGAGCATATTGAGTTACCAGAACTAGTGACTCTCCAAATTTTTCGTTCTATGAACCTATACAAAAACGTTCTTCCGTTTGATGACACCTAATTGACTAGAAAAAATTTATTAGGATTATTGAAACATGTAATAATAAAATATTATTTTGAACTTCAGTGAATTATAAGAAATGGTTTCACCAGAATTCTCAAAACAAGCAAGTTTTTCAAGTTAAAAGATTTTTTGACTTTTCTTATGTGATTTTAAATATCTTGCCTATCTAAAAAACCAAGGAGCTATTTTACTTTGCTTCGACTCCGTGCTGAAAAAGAATCTTTTGAATAACACTGATGAAATGATAAAAAAATACTCTTGAATTTAGAGATTTCGACATTACAAAATATGTTTTATCAAAATTTGATCTCTACTTATTTTCTAATGAAATCATTATTTTTTAACTCGAGTACTTATGTTAATTCCAATTATCATATATCTTTTCCTCATTTCTCATTTGTCGATGCTCAAAATCTCTAAACATAAAAGCAACACTTATTACTACGTCACTGTTATTGAAAAATTTACCTTTTTCATAAAGGAATCAAAGCAAAACAAAAGATCCCTTGACTTTTTCCAGACAGCCAAGATATTTAGAATCACATTCGGAAAGTTAGAAAATCTTTAAACCTGAAAAATTTGATTTCTTTGAGAACTCTGATAACATCAATTCTTAGGATTTACTAGGGTTCTAAAAAACTTGTTATTACAGTGTTACAACAGTCCTCACCAATTACTTTTTTCAAATCAATTCTGCGTCGCGAAATAGATAAAAGATTTATAGAGATTTACAGAACGAAAAAGTTATAATATTGACAATTGTATGAAAAATTAACATAGTGTGTGATGGATGTGGGTGTGTGAGTGTGGGTATTAGTGAATAGAATATGCGAGCTACACCCATATCCTATAGTAATTGCGAGTATTGTCCGTCAATTTCTGAACAAAACCAAAAACGTTTATTTCCTGTAGTTGGGTGTGAGTGTTGGTGTGGGTGTGGGTGTGGGTGTGGGCGGGATGCGTGTGGATGGGTGTGAGTGTGGACGAAGAGAAGATCTACAACCACACATCCATGCCGAAATATTCACGCATATAGCATACGCCCACACACAAATCACCAACACTTACATTCATCCACAATCCCAAAAACCGCCAACCACCAAGATCAGCAACATGCGCACTTATGAATGCGTTTTTTCCTCAAGCGCGGTTCAAAAATCGATCTTCGTATGTTGATGGCTGCGGTAATAGACGTCAATAAAATTTTTGTTTTTTCTAACAAGAAGCTCAGAAAACAATACTAGAACAAAATTTTCAACCCAACGACATTCCTCGTGGAAATCTATTTAGCACTAGACTGTGAATTGTTATCTTCGTTCCACTTGAGTCTTATAATTTCACATTATTGATCGAATTTATCTAATTGATAAAATAATGGTTCAATAAGATACGACGATTCTGAGCAAAATTGTACAACAAACTCATTTTCTTCACTCTTTAGGCAACAACACACTCATTAACTATTTGTACAACTTGTTTTCCTATGGATCCATTGAAGAACCTTTTCTTGTAATTCAAACAAATTTTCGAAGCGCCAACATTAAAGCCCCGCATAATGAGCGAAATGCATCCGATTTAACAATAAACAACACGGTCTCGTGATTTATTCATCAATCCACACACAAGAGTATCACACTTTGAGTCATTGACAAGTCTAGAATCCATGACATATGTGGCTTTCTGCAGGATGATGTTAACGTGGATATGATTTTCAACACTCTTACGCAGCTAAATGAGCTTCATTCGATTATTCTCCTATTAAATGCGACACATTGTCGTCTGACAATAAATATAAAAACCTACTTCAATGCTTTACTAAGCGCATTCCAAACGATTTTGCTGATCATCTCATCTTAACCTTGACAAATTGTAAAGAGTATCGAGTGAATTTCGATGCAGAATCGCCTGGTCTTCCAACAATAGACAAGAACAGCATTTTTTATACGCAAAATTTAGTGTTTTCTTCCGATATTCATCAGTTGGGACCTGAACAATATGCTAAGTTGGAAAAAGGTTGCTATGAGCCCCAGATCCACCATGGTCGATCGTAACCTGCCGTACACAAACCAACCATTGCGAATAACGGCGATTGTCTACGGTAGCTATTTACAACAACGGTAAATGATGCTTTACGACATATTACGACCATTCTACACAGCATCCGTAAAACATCACTCTAAACCACTATCGTAACTCTACAACGACTGTATACTTTGGTCAGAAAACACTGTAAGATACATTACATGTCAGTCGTTTCCAGTGATCGTTTACGATGGTCGTAGATAATGCTTTACAGCATATTACGGCCATGTTAAACGATGACTGTAAAAACTCGCTGTGAACGACTAGCGTAGCAATACGACGACTGTACACGCTGATGCGATAAAATGTTGTCAGGCGGCATCTAGGTTAGCTGTATACGGTAGCCGTTCACAGCGATCGTAAGCAACGTTTTAAGATGTTCTATGGCTATCGTAAACAAGACCGTAAAAAAACGCCGTTAACAACTTCTGTAATAATACGGCGACTGTATACATTCATTGGATACCATCACAAGCTACCATCTGTGTCTACTGTAATTGGTATGAGACAGGATCATTAATTTTTATCGTATTTCATCACAAAAGATCCTTACCGTTGACGAATTCCTCTTAGTCAATATAAA